TGGCAAATGTAGCTCAGGATATTTGAGCAGCAGGAGCAGAGATGATGATGATGGAAAATTAACAACAGAAAAAATGTGCTGCACTGCCTCCTCGAATGTCTTTAATGTGGTTTCCATTTCATTGTTGTCCTCTGATGGATTTTTTTTCCTCAACGCTGATCCAAACAGAGGCGGCTACGTGTCGATCTGCTGCATGACCTCCAGTCTGCATCATCACCCACGTCTCTGATCAGCTCAGTGGTTTGAAAAAGATCTGTCTGTTGAACAAACAAGCAATCACAGTTTTGACTCAGAACAAGGATGTCATATTCATGCCATGGAGCCAAAAAAAAAATCATGGAGCTGTGAGGTGCATGTGTGGAAAGTCAGGAAGACTTCCGGGGCAGAGTGTCTGACATTTTCTGGAAATGTACACCAGTGCATATGTGAAAGCAACTTTGGAATAACAATCTGAGCATGTCAGTGACAAAACAAGACCTTCCAGTCGACGGACTTAGATCAGGTACATTTGCCTCAAAGGATTACAGTCCAGCCTTTCACTTCAGCAGAATTAAAGGCTTTATATGAATAGACCAATCTGTCATGACTCTGTGAGTCATGACTGTCTACAATGGTCCCACTGTCTGTGATGCTTTCCGAGTTTTCCAAGTCTTATCTTCAGTTTATTTACGGCCGACTCCTCCCCTCACATATAAAAGTTGTTTAATTGAGGGACTAGAGAAAATAATTCAATTCAAAAAACTTTATTTGTCCCCGGGGGGCAATTCAAAGGCACACAGAGCAGTAAATTAACAACAGTGCAAGTAAACAAAACATTTTAACCTCAATAGAAAGTGTCAATTTAAATACAACTTAAAGCTTAAACTTAACTTAAAAATACAAAATATAAAATAGTAGATATAAGTGCACAGTGATCGGACTAACAGATGTAAACAGATGTAAACAGAACTATGTGCAGTAAACGAGAAATAAATATATATATATACAGAACTATATGCAGTAAACGAGAAATAAATATATATATACAGAGCTATGTGCAGTAGTGACCAGATGTAAACAGAACTATATGCAGTAAACGAGAAATAAATATATATATATACAGAGCTATGTGTAAGTAGGCAAATACTAAATGATAAGTTATTAAGGTGCATGGTGAATAATGGAACAACAGAACTAATATATACAATATAACTGTAAGGTAAAAATGAGATAAATAAAGTGACCGTAGTGCAATGATGGATAAGAAACAACAGGAATAAAGTTAGCAGAACTGTATGAATACTGATATAAAAGGGATAGAATAAAGTGATGTAGTGCATGAGACCAGATAAAGCAGAGGCAGTTAAGATAACATACTGTACTCACTGCTTAACTGTGTTTCTAGCTCACGCTCATTTCAGGTAAATTTACATGCAGCGTCACGATGCGAGCATAATAAAGATCACTAGCATTAGCATGCTAACACAACAATGCACCGTGAGTTGTTTTGGTTTCATGCTCGTGCTCGAGGGCGACATCTGCTGGATCAAAAAAATCACATATAAAGACTTTTAAGAAATCTACTAGACCAAGTGCAAAACCTTTCTGTAACCTTTCTGACTCCTACATCTAGCACAGCTGGATTAAAGGACCCTAAATACAGTCATTTACCACCTCGGACAGTTTGAATATTAAGGTGTGATCATGATGTTATTGCACATTTTTTTAAAGTAGAAGAAGAAAAATTGTATGCAGTACCTCTTACAGAGAGGTCATGGCGTTGGGATACCTTGAAATTGCATTTTTTTTGCAAAAGCAAACACAACTGAAGGGTGGAAATGAAGGGGGACAGATTTGAGTTAGGAGGTTAATAGTCCTTCGGGCGGCCGTGCAGACTGCAGGCGGGTGTTATGTTACCTCTGATTGGTGGAGAAGAATTCAGGCTCTCGGGAGCAGAGCTGTAATTATCTTCAATCTGTGAGAATATGGAGGCAGAGATGAAAAACTGGCTTCAGGTGTTTCACAATGACACCCAAGCTCTTGTTTCTCTCTGTCTTCATCAGAATCTGTTAAAAAAAAAAAAAACGAGCTGAATGGATAACAAATGAACTTCTGTGAGTCTTTTCTGTTTTTGCACAGAGGTGAGTTTTTATCTGCTGGACGTCTGGCTGTCTGACGGAGATTGGATGGGAATCTTTCCAAGCACGGTTTCTAGGAATGTCTCCTGCGTACGTTCTTTTCTATCGGACATGTGCTTTAGATTCTTCATGCAGAGGTCAGTGTTTATCTGAGGGCTGAGGTCGGTTTCCTTCAGTCGGGATTTGTCTGAGATCTGAGAGAGATTCTGCTGCGTTTCTCCGCTGTCCAAGATGACTGATGAGAACCTCGTCTGAGTTGTAATTTTCAGACCAGCATCGTCATATTTTGAAGCATAGGGTCCAAAAAAAGGCTAGAGAGACAGAAAAGTCAGTATACTACATTTCCTTCAAAGTATGTTTTATATGGGTAGTGCAGCAGCTTACAGATCAACAACCGAGGTGCGGAGGTGTTTCAGCACAAGGCCTTCATCAGGAGTGGAAACTGGGCGGCTTAGTTAAGAACCCCTTCTGTTCACTTCACTATAAACTCCAAGCGCTTTGCATCATTCACCTCAATCACACACAAGATAATGTAATTATGGCAAAAGACTTCCAGATCAAGTTGGAGCTCTTGCATGTTCTTGACACTTTCACATTTGGATCGGGATAACCAGTGAATGACAACGCCTGCCCTAACCCTTACCTGAATGTTTTATTCATCTTTTATTGAGTCCATTTTGACTTTAGTGATGATCTGCTGTTTTCGTAACCTCAGCATCGTTAACAAAAACAGGCGGGGAAATATTGTTAAACTTTGTCAAAAGATAGTTGGAGTTGACTTGAATGATCTCGGCCATGTTTTTCAAGTAAGAGCCACTCGAAAGGCAAAGGCCATCTTGGAAGACGCTCTGCCGACAGGGCGGAGGTTCACTTATGTAAGGAGGTCGAAAATCAAATAGATACCTGAGGTCGTTTGTTCCATCAGCTGTTGGGTTTTTAAATAAGCTGTAGGCATTGTTGCCTGGACACTTTTACTATGGACCGTTGGTCTTTTGTCCCTTATCTCACTCACATCCATCATGGTGATATCCACGGTAGTTATGTTTTATATGTATGTATTTATGTCATTGTGCTGTTTTTTATGGATGTATTGACTGTATGGACCGCTGTTGCAAACCAAATTGCCCCTCAGGGACAATAAAGAGTTTCCAAATCCAAATCCAAACCCTAAACCAACCAATATGGACTATATGAAACTTTCTTTTTTCTGTGTTAGTAAAAACAATGACTTTGGTATTTATTTCTAATTAAACGATGCTTCTGGAGGCAGCTGTGTGCCGCACTTCAGACCAAGACAAATCTCCCCAAGGGGACATTGAAGTGTATCGCATCATATCATATCGTAGCTAGTTGCCCTGTATACTACCGCACATGTCTGCACAGTGCATTCTTCTCACAGCTTATTTCCTATTGCAGATTAGTTGTGCATAAAATCATTTCTTGAAGTTAATTTCAGGTTTGAGGAACGTTGAGAATCTGCAGACGATGATGTGTTTGAGAGTTTGTTTCTGTGGTTATTCTTCAGACTTCCTGCTGAACCCATCAGTGATGAGTCTGTAGAAGATATTACTGCTGCTCTGAATTCCTCTGGACTCTCTCGTGGTTAATCTGAGGGGGAAGAGCCTCATATCGCTCTCTCTCTACCCCATCATTACCTTGACCTCCTTCCCTCCCTCCATTCCTCCCTCCATCCCCCCCTCCCCTCTTTGCTGCTCTCCTCTCTTTCTATCTCACAGCTTGTATCCAACAGTCTTTGGCTTCACGCTGTGATGAATGTTTGCTGAGGAGACTCCTCCCCCTCCGCCCTCCATCATCTCTTCAACACCGCTGCTATCCTCCTTCTTTTTTTCATCTTGTGTCTCTTTCCTCTCATCATCTCAACAACCTGATTCTGTTTCTTCAGACTTTGTCAAAGGACTTCAGGAAGGTGGGATAGTCGGGGAGTTTCCATCCTCTTAAAGGTGTCTCACATGATTGTCATTATTGTCTTTGTGTGTTTCCTCCTCCTTCTTCATCGAACCAAGCAAACATTCTTTGACGTCTCCGGTTTCTTTGTGTCTCTGATGAACACTTTGATGGATGTTCGTCTTCTGGACCTGCCTTCTCCTTAGCTCTCATTCTACTCTTTGGGTTTCTTCCCTTCATTGTTCAAAGTGTCCTGAATGTTTTAAAGAAATCTTTACTTTCTGACCTCCCTCACTTCATTTTTGCCTCTTTCTGCAATCTCCTCACTTCCCTTCATTCGTCCTTAAACTTGTAATGAATGTTTGTCAGAGCTCCAAACGGCTGTGAATTCCTCCTCCTTCCTTTAGCATCCCTTCATTTCATCCTTTATCGCCTTTTTCTGGATAGTTTCTCACCTCCTGAAAGCTCCCTCTCACCTCCTGCACCTCCTTCATCTTCTGGTCCTCCTCATCTCTCCAAATCCTCTGATTAAGTTCGACTCTGCTGTCCTTCATGTTGTGATAAATCATCATCAGAGAAGGGGGACGACTGAAGTGTCTCCTCGCCGGTTGCTGCTTGTAATTTCACCTTCATATCCATCACTAAATCCTTGCAGGGTTCATGCAGACTCTGGTCCTGGTTCAGTTTATTCAGCTCTAATTGAATCCTGAAACACATTAATCTGAATGAGGAAATTAACCAACAAAAAAAAGCTTCATTTATAACAGCTTAAGACTGTCAAGAGTCATTTGTCATGAATTAGGAGGTATTTTTTAATACTTTTGTTTAAACATTAGTCCACCATCTGGAAATCTGGAACACCCTCCCCTCAGACATCCCAATGCCCCATCTTTAGACTCATCTGTTCTCCACAGCCAAACCATCATAACACTGCAAAAACTCAAACCTCTCTCTCTCTCTCTCTCTCTCTCTCCACAGTTCGGTGGCCGTGCTGAGGGAATGCATGAAAAACAAGACGCTGGTTAGTTTCTTCCAGGAGAGGCAGGCGACTCTGAACCACTCGTTACCTCTGGAGACCTACCTGCTCAAACCGGTGCAGAGGATCCTCAAGTACCACCTTCTTCTTCAGGTGATACTCCCAATACTTTGTTTAGCACTTCACTTCCTTTACATCCTGCATCCAAACTCTGTTACCTTTAAAGACATCTTCCTCTGCACAGAACAACAAAATGACCGGCCACTTCAGTTTAACTTCTTAAATGGGCTGCAATAAATGGTCAATGGACTTGAGCTTTTCTAGTCCTCTGACTACTCAGAGCACTTTTACACCGCAGGTCACACCTACACATTCACACACTGGTGTTAGAGGCTGCTGTGTGAAGAGTCCATCAGTATTAACTCATCCATTCATATGCACATTCACATGGGGTTAAGTGTCTTGCCCAAGGACATATCGGAAATGTGGCTGCAGGAGCTGGGGATCGAACCAATGACCTTCCAGCTGAGAGATGACCAACTCTACCGCTGAGCACCAACCCCCCTAACTACCTTGAAATACATAATATACATATATAAAGTGTCTCAAGTTCAGGCATTTCCTTTAGTTCTGCATGAAGTACACAAATACTCCTGATACAATAGGGCAACAACCAAAACACTTCGTGCAATTCATCCAAAACTTCACAAACATTGTGATTAAAGCTTCTCTGGGTCGTCCAATGAAACATTTTAAAAACTCTGGATGGGTAAACACATTCAAATCTTCTGTTCAATATGTGCAGTTGTTAAAGGATTCACTGAGGGCTCAGAGATTTCCCAGAGGAAGTTTGATGGGTCTTTATGAAGCTTTTGTTTCCAGGGCAACGAGACTGTTTCCTGCCTGTAAACAGAGCTTTTGGCTAAAAACTACAACAGCAATAAAGCTGTTTCCTGTTTTTCGGTGAAGACGTGTGGACAGAGGGCAGCTGAGGACACGGACCCCCCTCTGTGTGTCACCCTCTCGGGTCTTAAAGATGGACAGCTTTTCAGTGTGCATCCCACATGTGAATTCTGCTGTTTGTCATTGTCAGCTCACATCTGCATCTGAGCTCACAGCCAATAAAACAAAGAAGAGACGGTGACATCATTTCTCAGGATGAGGTCCCCTGAAGAGAACCTGCCTCTGGGTCAGTGTTGATTTAAAAAGGTTATGTGAAACACTTGAGCTGCTCTGGGGAAAGAATTACCTCCAGTTCCAGAGGAGATGCACAACAGTTTTTTAAACATGCACATTTTGGAAACAAGCTGCTGAAGTGCGTTTCCTCTCCAGGATGCCGAGGCTCAATCTTAAAGATGAGCTGATGAACTTGGATATCCAGAGGGAGCTTGAACTCGAGCCAAGGATTCTTAGCATGAAAATGTGTTTTTGAGCATCGTATCGGGAAGCCTTCTGGGCTCGTTCCTTGGGGTTTTTTCAGGGCATGTCTGACTGAGAGACGCTGCTGTAAAGTCCATCTTGGCATCTGTATCCCAGAGGAGGAGCTGGACAACACTGCTGGTGAGAGGGACTTCTATGATCACCTTGAAAAACACTGACATGAGGTCTGAACCAAGTGGAAACCCCCGGTGTTGAAAAGTGAACACAGAGTTCCTTGAGTGTCCACTTGAAGCTGTCTTCAAAAAGACAAGGAATCCCCATTGGGTCCCATATTAAAATGTTCATTTTTACAGCATGGTTCACAAGTCGAATGTGGTTTCTGTAGCTCTTTTGCATCTTTGTTAGGAGGCACCTTAGCTCTGCCTCTTTGCCTGTTCCTGACTGTTTGAAGTGTAGCTGGAGAAAGTATTTCCAATATGGCGACCACCAATCGTTTTGCTTCTAAAACACCAATGGCAGGCGTCAATCGGACACCGGCCATGTTTCATACAGTCTATAGTCTGAACACACAATTTCCATCCTGCACTGTAAGATGGACCCTTAGGGGGTTAGTGGAGTTAATTTGTCCACCGAGGGACCAGAAAAGAGAGAGGCCTCAATCACTCGCTCACGTAGTCTAACAGTGACAGTGTACAGTGTGTAGCACCAGGTAAAACACTACCTTGGCACCGCCTAGTGGCTGGACATATGAATTACTCCTATCGCCACAGACACGAGGTTCCCACCAGTAACAGGTTGTGTATCGGGGGCTTTAGAACCCATTGGTGGTTTAACACATGGGTCATGCCATGTTTGTAGTTTGATTTGGCCATTTATTGGACTACATTTCTGGTCCCAGTTTTCAAGCTCCGAGGGAGAATTGATTTGTTTTTGTAAGGCTTTTTATGCATTTACTGGAGAGACAGGAAAGGATAGCGTTGTAAATAAGTTAGAGAGAGAGGGGGGAATGACAAGTGGCAAAGGAGGCACAGGATGGATTTGAACCCAGACTGCCCGCTTTGATGACTGTAGCCTCTGTGCATGGGGCGTGGGAACTAACCACTAGTCCACCAGCGCCCCTGAGAATGGATTTTGTGACCCACTCTGCTACCCTAGGTGGTGATTTACCACGATGGATACTTACTATTGGAGCTTCTTCTGGTTGTTAGCAAGTGGCAAAGCCTGATTGAGGTGCAAGAGTCAATCGATCTGCTAGCGTATTATTCAGGTGTGTTAGCACGACTTCCAGAAAATTCAACTTAGTACGATTTCAGTGGGACTCATCGATTGCTTTACATGGATTGGAGTGAGGAAAGGAGAGGAGGAAGGAGGAGAGGAGGTAAAGAGGGGGGGAGGAAGGAGGATTGGAGAGAGGAGGGGAGAAAGGGGGAGAGGAGGTAAGGAGGGAGGAGAGGAAGGAGGTGAGGAGAGGTGGGAAGGAAGGAGGAGAAGAAGTAAGGAGGGGGGAGTAGAGGAGGGAAGGAAGGAGGAGAGGAGGTAAGGAGGGGGGGAGGAAGGAGGATTGGAGAGAGGTGAGGAGAGGAGAGGAGGTAAGGAAGGAGGAGAGGAAGGAAGAGAGGAGAGAGGGAGATAGAAGAGGAGGGAAGGAGGAGAATAGAGAGAGGTGAGGGGAGAAAGGAGGAGAGGAGGTAAGGGGGGAGTAGAGAAGGGAAGGAAGGAGGAGAGAAGGTAAGGAGGGGGGAGGAAGGAGAATTGGAGAGAGGTGAGGAGAGGAGGGGAGAAAGGGGGAGAGGAGGTAAGGAGGAAGGAGGAGAGGAGAGAGGGAGATAGAAGAGGAGGGAAAGAGGTGAGGAGAGGAGGGAAGGAAGGAGGAGAAGAAGTAAGGAGGGGGGAGTAGAGGAGGGAAGGAAGGAGGAGAGGAGGTAAGGAGGGGGGGAGGAAGGAGGATTGGAGAGAGATGAGGAGAGGAGAGGAGGTAAGGAGGGAGGAGAGGAAGGAGGAGAGGAGAGAGAGGTGAGGAACAGAGGGAAGGAAGGAGGAAAGGAGGTAGGGAGGGGGTAGGAAGGAGTCCAGTTTTATTCTGACTTTTCTAACATACTCTCTGTGTCCAAAGACGATCAGCAGAATGCAGTTTGTGATACAGGATGTTCTTTCATCATGATCAGCTCAGGTGTTTCAAAGACTCAGGAGCAGGATGGGGATTGGACATCCTACTTTCAGCAGCACGC